ATTTAAATTAATATTAATTTAAAATATAAATTAGACTTCATTAAAATTAAGAAATTGTACTCTGAAAGACATTGTCAAGAGAATGACAAGCTACACATAAGGAGAAAATATTTGCAAATAACATATATTTGCAAAATTCACACACAAATCAAGAAAACATGGGACGATAAATTATTTGGACAGATGCTTTAACAAGGAAGGTATACATATGAAAAGGTGTGCAACATCATTAATCATTAGTGGAATGCAATATAAAACCACAGTGAAATACCACCACATCAGCAGTACAATGTCTAATGTTTAAAAGACTGGCCATACCAAATGTTGGTGAGGATATGCAGCAACTGGAACTCTCATGCTTATTTGGTAGAAATATAAAATGGTTCAGTCACTTTGGAAACAGTTGTTACTTTTCCAAAATTTTAAACATATATCTAAGTAATTACCTAGCCGTTCTACTTCGGGAAATTTACATAAGAAAAATGCCCTTACAAAGACTTGAACACAAACATTCATAGCAGCTTTATTTATAAAGCCAAAAGTAAAAACTGAAGACAACCCCAAAAAATGTAAATGGGGAATTAAGTAAATAAATTACAGTATACGTATCTTATAACATATTGCTCTGCAATAAAAAGGAATAAACTGTTCATATGTGCAACAATTATGGATGAATCTCAAAATAACTACTCGTATACTTAGGAAAAGGAGCAAACCCCCAAAAAAGTATATATTGTTTATTCCATTTATTTAAAACTTTAGAAAATGCTAAATAATCTAGAAAGGTGATCAGTTTTGCTTGGTGATAAAAAGGAGGGATTGCAAAGCGGCACAAGGATGCTTTGGGGTGATGTTTCTGGGGGGTGATGAATGTGGATATGTTAATTATCATGATTGTGATGCTTTATCAGGTATGTGCATGTTTCAAAACTTATCAAATTTTGCATTTTAAATATATGCCTGTTAGTTGTGCAATGTCTGATAATTGTCAATTTTTTCTCAATAATTGTTTTTAAAAAACCAAACTAAGAAAATAAAACAAACAAAAAATCAAATTGATGGGTAAGGAGTGACTAAGTGGTGACCTCAGAGGGAAATGGTGAGGGAAGACTACTCTCTGTGGGAGAGTTGCTCAGTGGCCTAGTTCACAGTGGCAGGTGTTTAGAAAGGTTTTACATATCACTTGATGAACATGCTCTCCATGCCCGGGGCTCTCCCTGGGCTAACTGGACACTAACGCTACTGTTGATGTGGTCTTAGCCCATGGAGCTGTATCTACTCTGGCCAGGATTGTCATAGAATTGGGCGGGACTGAATTTGGTGGGACAAACTTGCTGTCCTGGTAGAGTGTAGAGCGTGGGCAAGGAAAGAGATGATTTAGAAAATTAAAAATCTAGTTTTGCTTGAAAAATCTCTCATTTACAAGAAAAGATATGGTTTACTTAAAAAGGAAGGAAAGAGGGAGAGGGAGAGAAATGGGCAGGAGAAAGGGAGAATCCCTGTGCAAATGAGGATCATTTGCCTTTGTATTAAAGCAACTTGCCTTTTTCTGAGAAACAAAATCTGTAAAATGGAAGCAAAATAGCAGAAAATTTAGAAAACTAGAGGTTCTCATTAACTGCGAAGCTACATTTTGTTTTTTAAAGAGGAATGAAGACCAAGACTTAACCGTATTCCAGAGCTTCTGAAGTGCCTGTATGACTTTTTCTTTTTAACATAATCAGGTTTCATTATAAATAATAATAAATATCCTCATGTGTCAGCAACTTCTGGAGACAAAATTTTTTTTCTTCTACTTTAGTAGTATAATGTAATTTTAACAAAAGCTATGAATCAAGACATAGCCTTTTATATGCTAAAAATAATAGAACTAGCACTTAAAGTAGCAACCTGACAACTCACAAAGAATATTGTAAACATATCATGCCTCATTAGTTCAGCTAAGTCTCATTTAATGTCACTCATCTTATTCTTATTCAATATAGCAAGTGCTTGCACATATTTGTCTTTTTTCTATTTTTTCTGTGATATGCATCTGACCATGATGTGAGAGGCAGAACAACAACGTCCTTACTGAGCAATCTGAAAATCGTAAAATTCTAAAAATCATAAACTTCAAAACCTTTTCTCCAAAATATTTTTTGGTCCTCTTATAGATGAACCAAAGAACTAAATTTCTCCTTTAGGCTCTCATTAAATCTCAATTTTGCTTGATTTCTAAAGAATGTGGACATGTAAATCTTGCTGTTAGTGCTAGATTCATAAAATAATTAACACACAAACACACATCTCCATCTACACACAGAGGTTAAATTAGACTAAATATTGTGAGTGCATATTGTTTTGCCTGCACATTATTATATTTTTCAAATTAGTTGTAAGCCTATAGATATAGATTTCTCACAAAAAAACACATATTTCTGTTTTTTCCTTGAAAAAATCAGAAGAATGGTATGCCCTGGACTTTCATTCTCTTATGACACCAATCATGCAGGAATGGATTCCCCCGTTAGATAGAACACACACCCTCCAGTTTGCTATATTCTCTCCCATTCCCAATATCCGCCCTCACACTAGCTCCAGCCTGCTTTATTCATTTCCATTACCTGTCTAGTAATCTTTACTGTTTTTCTTATTTCAATGTTAATATTTCAGCATGTTTGCATGTGTGTGTGTGTGTGTATGTGTGTATCTACTTCTTTTTCCCACTTAGGTCTTGCTAGAAATAGAGTGGTAACTGGCCAACATTAATTTAGCCTAGGTTAAACACTTCTTTAAGGACACCATTGGACATAACAAACAAGTGTATCTGTGTAATGCTAGGTGCAGAGAACTAAAGCAGGGTGACAGACTCTATCTCTCAAGTGCACAATCAGGAGCACAAGCGCAAAAAGGACTGTATGCCATGCATTGGACTTTTAAGTAATATTCAAACATATAGATACCATTAGTAATGTCAACATCAAGTAGAAAATTGGCCATGTGTAATTTCACAGTATGTGCATGAGGAATGAAACCTCTCTATACTTTTACTATGTTAAGAGTCATAGAGTGGATGCCCTGGCTGGGGTGGCTCAGTGGATTGAGTGCTGGTCTGCAAAGCAAAGGGTCTCTGGTTCGATTCCCAGTCAGGGCACATGCCTGGGTTGCAGGCCAGGTCCTCAATAGGGGGCACGTGAGAAGCAACCATGCATTGATGTTCCTCTCCCTCCCTTTTTCTCCCTATAAAAATAAATGAAAAAATTTTAAATAAAGTATCATGGAGTGGAAATCCCTTCCTCCATTCTCTGTGGATTCTACTGTTGGTCCAGGTAACATTGGAAGTCACTGGAGACACCTCAAAGCTCTCTAGGAACATAGAATTGTAATTGTGAAATATGGTGACAGTTGTTTTTACAGTTAACTGGGAAATGATGAGCAATCACCTATGAAATTTCCCCCACACCGAACTGTGGCCATGGGATGCCCTCTTGCGCCTACCCTCTGATAAATGGAATATTTCAAAGAGATGTTTCTTAGATAATAATCAATATTACTATTATAATGATAAATTTTAGCTCTGGACCCTAAGAGATTTTTTAAAAGCTTATTTTTATTTATTAGTTACAAAATAAAAAAAATCTATGGAAAGACTACCTTCCCCAATACCTATCATCCCACTCAATGCTGAAACTGAGCTACAGTTATGTTTCTCTAAAGTCTGAGAATGGGATTCTTAGTTTAGATATCAGTTAAACCTTGAATAATGTTCCATAAAAATATTTTTACGTAAGTATTGGAACTCTTCATATTTCTCCACATATCTGCTTCCCTCCCCTTCATTCTAATTTCACTTTCTTCTAATAGTGATAGATTTTCTACCCAAAATTGACATCTGAAAATTAACATTGTTCTCTCAAACCTCCACCCCATTTAGTCAATCACAAAGTCAGTTCTTCTTTTATAATATTTTATGTATGTAGCTCTTTCTTCCTCACCTACTCTCATCACTCTATTTCAGTGTTTCCTAAACTCAGGTCCATAGTCTACATACACCCAAATTCCCCAAAGTTCTTATAATTGGAATCACTTGCCATACTTACTACTGTAGATTTTTGGGGGTCCAGACCTCCTGAATCAAAATCTGAGACAGCCCGAGAGCTCTTCACATTTTCTCATGTAAACTGGATGTGGGTGGAAGGCTCATGTGCACTGGAACCATTTCGGACTGCTGCCTTTCCACTTTCTGCACAGACCAGAGAGCACCTTGCCTTGGAATAGAGCATTACCCGACACTCTTATTCTCAGCTGTGGATGGTTCTGTCAAAACTCTGAGGCAGCAGGAAAAGTCTTGTTTAACATCCCATTACACTTAATTTAATTCATTTGTCTTACTTTTGTAAGGTTTCTAAATATTAACGAAGACCTGATTAGTTAATTTAGGCATGATTAACTACATCCCATTTTAGTTTTTCTTTCTTAGACTTAGTTAGCTCAGATAATTTGATGTTTCTTAATAAAATTTTCTGGCCCTTTCAGAAGCAGATGCCTGAGGTTTCTAATTTTCTGTGGCATCTTTTCCATCCCATTTTCTTAACCCTTTTACTCAATTAAACCCCTTTGTATCTCACTGAAAATCTTTCCTGGGGACAAATTTGTATAATGTTCTTAGTGATTCTATTTATTCTCTACAATTTTTAATCACTGTTGTCATTGGTAATACACACACCTACACACCGCCCCTCCCCCCGCAACACACACACACACACACACACACACACACACACACATACACACACACTCAGACCCCACAGCACTTTGAGTACCAAAGGAATTGGTGGTCTTAGGGAAGGCTTTAGTTATCGAGGTAGCAGTGATGATGGTAGAATAGTAGAATCCTTGGTGGAGTGTAGGCAGTCCTCCTGCTAGGCGACATGGAAAATGATGCTTTTATTTGAAACCTACAAAATGTTTCGATGTGAAGAAAAGTTGTCAATCTCTAAATTACATTTTCATTACAGACATAAAGAAGATGATTTTCAGAAGTGGGTGTTTGGAACTGACAGCTGTATTTATTCAAAGGTAAGGACTTTATAAGCCACAGCTTTTATTCCTAAGTTTTTCTGTTCCCAGTTTTGTATAAAATGCACTATCTATTGTTGAGAGCAAGAAATGCTTTTTGCGCACAAATGATTTAACTCTGTGCCCAGAAGTTTAGAATTGAATTTAATTTAACTCAATATTTTCCTTTGAGGTTTTGTTTGACTTTAAAACACTAGTTTTCCAAAACTAAAAATAATTTCCCACAATTTATTGCTATGAAACAACCTAGCATTTCAGGTCATTAGTTTTCTTTCTTTGATCTCAATGTTTAATTTATTATTTTTCTTGATATATAATTGACATATACCATTGTATAAGTTAAAGTTATATAATATATTGATTTGTGGGAAGTACATATTGCAATATGATTCCCACCATATATTAGTGAACACCTCTATCTTGTCACATAATTATTTCATTTTGTGTAAGATTAAGATACACTCTCTTAACAACTTTGAAGTTAATAATATATTATTGTTGACTATAATAACTATGCTGTGCATTAGATTTCCAGAACTTATTTATCCACTAGTTTTAAGGTTGTACTCTAGTTCCCCTACCCTTCTGGTTTGCACCAGTCTTCTCTCTGTTTCTCTGAATTTGGCTTTTGTAGATTCCACATATAAGTGGTATCATGCAGTATTTGTCTCTTTCTGTCTGACTTATCTCACTTAGCATAATGCCCTCTTGGTTCATCCATGTTGTCAAAAATGGCAGGCCTTCTTTCTCATAACTGAATAATATTCCTATATGTGTATGTGTGTGTACGTATAAATATAAATAAAATACATACCTCATCCTCTTTATCCATTCATTCATTGACGGACACTTAGACACTTAGGTTGTTTCCATATCTTGGCTATTGTGAACAACGCTACAATGAACATGGGACTACAGATACTGTTTCAACATCTGTATCAGTTTTTTTTATTCATCAAAATGAGAAAATTCACATTTTGGAGAACTGGCAATATCTACTAAAGTTGAGCTTGTCTATATAGCCCAGCAAATCCCCTCCTAGTTTAATGCTAAACAGAAGTACTTACACTTACTAAAATGTTTATGGCAAGTACTAATTGAGGTAGCCTCAGTGGGGGACAACACATATGCCAATCGGCAGTAGAACAGACACATAAATTGTGGTATATATATTCCATAGAATATAGCAGCGTTGGGAAACTTCTGTAAAGGACCAGATAGTGAATATTTGGGGCTTTGTGAGCCATACAATCTCTGTCCCAATGTCTCCACCCGGCCTCTGTAGCATAAAAACAGCCATAGACAATGTGTAAATGAATGGCATGCCTGTGTTTCAGTAAAACTTTCCTTTCACAAATAGGTGGTTGGTCAGATTTGGCTCATGAGCCATAATATTCTGACCCTGGAGGATGATAGCAATGGCAGTGAACAAACTGTAATTACTAACAGTGTTTAAGAATCTCACCAATATAATGGTGAACAAAAGAAACCAGATACAGGAGAATACACAGTATATGATAGCAGTTATTTAAACTTTAATGCTAGGCAGACCAACAAATCCATCATGTTAGGAGTCAGGAGAGTGGATATAGCCGAAGGAATTTAATGACTGCCAGGGGCCAGAGGAGCACTTCAGGTCTGTGGTGAGGTTCTTTATTTTGACCTGCGTGGTTAGTTAAACAGGTATTCATTATGTTAAAAATGGATGGAATTATATGCTTATGATTTATGTATTCTTCTGTATGCATATTATAATATGAATGTATATTATTTAAATTTGCTTTAATAAAATGAGGAGATTGGCCTGGAGTTCTCAAGATTTCCTTCCTGTTTTATGGTCCCATATCTAAATGGAATGTTGATCAACCATTGGTACTTAAGAAAAGCAAATATTACATTGATCACATTAGGTATCTGTTAGTGTTTGCCTCAGAATCCTACCACCATGGTATCAGAAATGCTAACTTACTCAGATGAATGAAACAGGAATACATGGTGTGTTAATTTTTCAGGGCTCCTGAAACAAGTGCCACAAGCTGGGTACACAAAACAACAGAAATTTATTCTCTCACACAGACCTGGAGGCTGAAGTCTGAAGTCAAGGTGTTAGCAGTGTGGTGCTCCATCTGAATCCTTTAGGAGAGCGTTCTTCCTTCCCTCTTCCATCTTTTGGGTGTGAAGCCCAGACATTCCTTGACTTGTGGCAGCATAACTCCAGTCTTTGCTGCCATCTTCACATGGCTACCTCCCTCCACTTCCGAGGCTTCGCATGGCATTCTCCCTGTGTGTGTCCAAATTTCCCTCTTCTCATAAGCTCACTAGTCATATTGGATCAGGGCCCATCCTAATAACCTAATATTAATTTGATTACATCTACAGAGGCCTTATTTCCAAATAATGTCACCTTTACAGGTACCAGGGTGGGGAGGGGTGCACATAATTCAACCTATAATACATAGGATGCCAGTTATCAATATAGTCCCCTTCAGTTTCAGATGTGCTGTTTTGCAGGTCCTGTGTTTCAGACCTGCCTTGGACGGCTTCACAATAGAGCACTGCCAGTGGGCCACCTTCTTGTGAATGGTTTCGTTGAGCATATTTCTCTTGAGTGGCTCCTTAGTGGAGAAACACCAATCAGGCATCTTCCTGTAGATGGCTTCCCTTGGAGCTCTGAAGGCACGTTGACTGTCAGTCCTGCTAGCGTACTGCCTCAGGTGTTGCAAACCGTCCAGCCTGGTTTCAGGACAGACGAGAGGGCCCCAAGGCTGGAGCTGAGCAAGGAGGCCTTGGGAAAAATAGGCCACTGAGGGGTCCTCATTCTATCTGAAAGAAGCCTCCTTATCTCTTGGCTGCTCTGCTCCACCCACCTGACTCAGCTTGAAACAATAGTAGAGGCAGGTACAGCCCTAATCTGGATCAGGCATTTCTGGCCTGACAGTTAGGCCTAGAAAAGGAATACGTTAAATCCTATGAAACCTACTTTGCTAAGAATGCCCTCGAGTTAATGAGTACTGGTGTTTGGGGTCTGAAAATAGGATGAGTTTATTTTCCCAGGTTTTAGGGTTGTATAGGCTTCACCCTGTCTACCAGCCCCTGACCTGACGCAAATCTCTGTGTTCCTTCCATTGTTAATAGTGATCTCTATCTGTTTCCTGTAAATATAGCCTTTAGGCATTGATTGATAGGCTTTGTATTATGACCTCCCTGCTCTCCCCCTGCCCCCCTGCCCTGTGCATATTGCATGTCGTTCTCAATAAAAGCCACTTCAAGAGAAGGACTGGAGCATTCTCCACTGGAGGGAATCACCACCCCCTCTCCTGACAGGCAAATCGTGCCTGGTACAGTTTATTTCTTCACCCGCAGCAGCCAAAGGGACTCTGCAGGATGGGGTACCCCCCTCATCTGGTGCCTGAACAGGGACCCCACACTGAGGGACTTCTGTGTCATCCTGTGAGCCATGGCTGTGCCTTCTTCCATGTGGTCTGCATCTCAGTCTTGGGGCAGGCCTTCTCCTTGGCCATTCTCTCAGGTCTAAAAGTACTGGCTTTACCTTCTATCTGCTGTTCATATATATATTCTTTAGTGTTCTCTTTGACTCTTACTAGCCAATACCTGTCTCTGTAGTTCTCCATTACTAACTTTGTATTAAATTTGTCCTGTTCAAATTACTATGCGGTTTCTAGCTCCTTATTGGACATTGGCTGGTATGCTGGAATTATTGGGTTGGCCAAAATGTATGTTCAGTTTTTTTCCTTAAGATGACTCTAGTAGCACTTAGTTGTCTTTAACTTCATTTGATATAATTTTCTTAGACTGTATTGTGACAGCTGCCGTTTCAGCGTGCATTTAAAAAAAAAACTTACTGAAATTGGTGAATTTTTGTGTAGTCATTTTAATATTGAAGATGGAAGAAAATACACATTTTCAGCATAGTATGCTTTATTATTTCAGGAAAGGTTAAAGATGCAACTGAAATGCCAAAAAAAAGAAAAAATGTGTAGTGTATGGAGAAGGTGCTGTGACTGATCAAATGTGTCAAAAGTGGTTTGCAGAGTTTTGTGCTGGAAATTTCTTGCTGAATGATGCTCCACGGTTGGGTAGACCAGTTGAAGCTGATAACGATGAAATCAAGACATTAATTGTGAACAATCAATATTATATTGCGTGGGAGATAGCCAACATACTAAAAATATCCAAATCAATAAAGCTATTGGTGAAAATGAAAAATGTGTCTTTTATTGTATGGAAAAAAACTAAACGAACTTTTTGGCCAACCCAATACATAGTTAAGCTGTTATTCTGTGACGACCTGCAGCATTTTAGAAAGGTGGAGAGTTTGATGCAGTTTAAAATTTTAAATGAACATAATAGCATTTCCTGGAGTAATTATTTTTTGGCACAGTATCTAAAATCGCAACCCTATTCATTAATTCAACAAGGACTATATACTTTTAGCTGGTTTAAACCAGGGAATTTCATATTTTTCATATGAAAAATAATTTCATAGAGCCATCAAATGTCAAAGAATTTTTTAAATTTCCTTTTTCTATATTTATTCTGAGATTCACCCCTGCTTTCCCTTTATCCTATTTCTGACTTTACTACCTTCCTGAACCAGAATGAGGCTCTAGGTTGGTAGAAAGAGAATCCCAGAAAGGCGAAAGCTTTTATAGCTTGGTAAAAATAAAAGTAGAATTTTGAGATGTACCCAAATACCCCTCCACCTCTTTAGCATGTACCTGTATGTGAAGACCACATTCTGAGCCATACCCGAACCGAGCTGACTCCTATTACCTGAGAACATAATTTTGACCTGTGTAAGTATCATCCTTCCCACTGACAGATGTAGAAGAGCAGGACCAGGATTTTAGTGAAGTTTCTTTCTCTCTCAAAATTAAGGTACCTAAACATTCACTTCTTCTCTGCTGGCTTTTTTACCATTCCTTATCTCTCAATTTTGAATTTTCTAATTATTCCTAATAGTGGTATTGATTGCTAGC